AGCTTGTCATCAACAATTTGGGTGCTTGTGAGGACCATGTGGCAGAGTGATGATACCTGACGTTATGAATGCTAAAGAAGTTTCAACCAACAAGAATTGTAGTCGCCACTGTTTTAAAACCGTCATTTTGAGCCCTAGATATGCTGAAAAAAATATTTAAAAAGTGATCAACCAACAAGAATTCCAGTTGCCTGCAGGCTGCCGGCCCGGCCCGTCCAAGGCTAGCTGAAGGGTGAAGACAGAGCTAGGTATAGCCCACCTAGCCGTGCAGGCAGTTGAGCGGATTGTTGATCTACCGGTCGCCCGTGGATCTGATGGGTTCGGATCGGAACACACACTCTGCTCATGCTCATCCATTGGCCATTGCATACAAACCGTGGATCGTTCAACGACGTATCTGAATCTGATCGAGCAACATAGAGCTGCTGCTAATCAAAGGACAAGACGACCCTTGGCGATTGGATGGTAGGTCAAGGGTTTGGTGGTCACTGACAGAAATTAATTAATGGTCTTCCTACTTGACTGATCAGCACGGTTACCACTTCATCTCAGCTTCCATGGCCTTTGCTTTCTCCAACTCTAACATACTGCCTCAGGATCAGATCAAACACGTCAATTCATATTTGTTCTGGTAGAACAGAGAGGACGCGTCAATGTTAGAGGCTCCAAAGAAACTTTCCTGTTAATTGTCACTGAGACACGCTAGCTAGTCTTCTTTAACACCGAAAGTTCCAGCGGCGACAGCGGTGGTCAACGAGGAGGTTCCGTGTCATGACAAGTCAGGCGGAGTATCTGAAGCGCGGGAGCGAGTGAAGGCAAATCAAATGGGCCGCGATCAGGAGATGCGGCGGCCCAGGAACATCAAGCCCATGGGAAAGAGAGGGTAGTGAGGGCGCTGCGTCACCATGTAGCTGGACATCCAGCGTGTAACAGTAACGAATAGAGAACTCTGAACCCCGTATCCCAAACTTCCCCTCCAAGGTGATCTCGGTGAATCGAAATTCAGAGTTCTTCCCTCCTAATCTTCCTCAAATCCACTTCTAGTTACCTGTGATCGTGTGCGGTTACCTCGTCGTTGTGCAATTGAATGGTGAAATGATCCCATCCGAAACTTCAGATTACGGTACACTATACACCAAAAAACAATGTTAGTTTCCAGAATGGTCAGAACTTGGCACTACAACATTCCATGCTGCAAATGAAACCTGAATCCTGATGGTTTGCAGTGACTCTGGAATTGCAGGCTCCAGTTTCGCACAAAATCCGCCGACCGAGCAACCAACATTACACGATTTTGGAGTTACAGCCAAGTCTACTGAAGACAAAATCTGTTGCCAGTTGCTCAATTTCGATTCTCGACATTTCAGCCGCTAAGGCTAAGCTGTGACGGGAAATCATCTGCTCTACTAATATATAAGCGCGGCATCGTGCCCGACCACCGCGGTCCGCGGCGGGCGTCGGTGGAGAGCGCGCGGCGCCGAGACGACGCTGGCCACCGATACGTGCCTGAAACGGGATGGACATCTTTTTCTGCGGCGTCGCGGCCGCCGGCCCCTCGACATGCGACGCAGACCTCGGCCTGCTGGTTTGCATGGAGATGGGAGTATACGTCCCGTCGTGGAGGCGCTCCTGCCGGACGCCATCGTGATGACCATGGGGCTCTTCGCCAACGGCACGTCAGCGCCCGTGCTTTTTTATTATTATTATTTGAAACGCCCCCGCCTCTGCCACGTTCTCCAAAGTGTCCCAACAAATAGTTTGGGGGTATTCTGGTGTTAGTGAATGGAGTTAAGGCCTGTTTATTTGTTCGCGATTTGGAAGGTGTGCGGAACCAAGCACATCTTCAGAGCCAATACCTAACAGAGTGCGTGCTTGCGTTGGCATTTCAAACTTTTGAGTGGTATTTCATAGGGGGGCCTCTTTTAATGATATTTTTCAAATCTCGCGATCATTAAATACTATAGAACCAATTCTTCCTTCATGCTAAGTGATGCAGTAGGTAAACTAAACAAACAGTTTTCCTAGGTGTGTTGTGTTCTGTAGTATTGTCTTATTTATGCGCAAGAGACAGTTTAAGCTAATTTGGATCTAGAATTCTAGATCTTATATATGTCTCCGTCTGAGACGGTAGCAGTAGAAAACTTAGGCCTTCGTTGGCTATAGCTTCGAGTGGCTCCGACTCTCTCTCTCTCCGGATCACTGTAGATGCACTATTAGAAGTTGTAGCATGAAGTCATTTTAAGTCATGATGAGAAAGTGAACCGGGACTGCGAGAGAGGTGAAGCTAGTGAAGCCAAAATTTCAGGCTTCACCGGCTTAGGCTTTGGCATGCTACAGTGCTGACTAATAAAGTCCTATTTGTCACGGCTCCAAACTTGCTACAATGCACCGAGGAGCTAGAGCCAATGAAACCGAAAATAGTGGTTTTACTGGCTCCCAGTTCTTTTGAGAGAACAACTCCTTACCACGGAAGAGCTAGAGTCACCTAGAGTTCTACTCTGACATAGCCTAATTCTAGAGTTGTGGAGTCGGAGCTGGAAGAAACCTGATGGGTAGTTTTAAGTTTGTACAGGTTGGTTGGTTTGCACATGATATGTTGCCCTTAACAAATGTCACCGCAACTACTGCACTTGTGAACTCGTCTCCCTTGGCCATTGCCATTCTTGCACGGTTGTGGCAACCTAACTGTGCACCAGTCTAGTTTAGGTCAAGAGTGCATTTTCTAACACAAAAACTAAGGGTTTGAAAACTGAATTGAACAAAGTTTAATTCTAAAAATTTTCGTTCTAATTGAAAGTCATTTTACTTTTATCTTAAATCAAGTATTTTTATATTTGCTTAAATTTATAGATAAATACACAAGATTCATTATATACAAATAAAAAACATTTTCATAGCACATTTAATTAATATATATTGTAGATTTTAATATTTTTTATAAATTTAATTAAAATTAAAGCAATTTGATTTCTGATAAAAGTATAATGACTTAGAATTTAGAATAGAGCGTGCAAATCAATTTGCAGCTGCAGGTATCACTGGTCCATTATTTTTATTTGAAAAAGAAAACAACTTAACGGTTTTGTGTGGTCCAAATCCACCGTGGTGCTCCTCAGCCTGCACGGCCGCGCCCTGTCACATCTTTGTCCGCAACGGCTACTTTTTTTCCTCTGATCCCCTCCCCTTCCATTTGAATACCCCAGCCTGGCCGACCCTCCTCGCCTTCCCGACCAGCCTCCACCGCCTCTCTCACTGGGCCATGGCCGCCGCCTCTCCTCCCGCCTCCTCATCTCCCTCTCCTCCCAGCGCAGCCGACGGCGACGGGGACGGGGTTGGGTGCGGCGCCGCTTGCTGCTCCTTGCCCAACCGCAGCGGCGGGAGCGCCCGCAAGGTTTGCTCGCCCCATCCATCTTCTTTTGTACCTAACGCTTTGGCGATTTCACCCTGTATGGATCGCCGGGGTCTCAGCTCAGGGCTTCGCGTGATTATTGTCGGATTAATCGGGGTCGCTGCTTGGTCTTGGCGTGCGAGTGGCGGCTCTGGTTTCGGCTGCTGGAATTGGATCTGCGACGCTGGATTGCAGTGATGCAATCATCCGATTTGTTTTGTCCAAATCCATCCGGTTTCTATGCAATTATTTCTTCTCGGTACAATTCCCAGTTGCTCGAGATCGCTAGAGTCAAATGTCTGGTCAAAACCTGTTCTGCTAGCCGTCTTCCTTGTTGATCTCGGTGATCTCGTATCCATTTATGCAGGAACGCCTCCAGCTTACAACCCGATGGATCAGTTAGATTACAAATGATTTGATGTGCTATTTATACAGACCATTTTTAGTCCTTTAGGCCTTAATTTCGTAAGATAAGATTTCCTGTGGCATGTTAACTGATATCGTCATGTGGTTTGGACTTTGTACCAAGACTAATTTTGAGATGGATCAAATACGAGAAAATTACATATTTGAGACTCCAAACAATGCGCTTCGCAGATTTAGAACTCCAAACATCAACTTCGTAAAAATAGCACTTGAAACGTTGAACTCTTGATTTTCATGACATTAGATGTATTTCATCTCTTTTTAAATCTTTGTACGTGTATTTGTGACCTGGATGGATGATTTTGCCCCTGTGGCCTCACATACAGGCCTTGGGCTCGGTTTGGCTCGTTGACCTGGTTGGCTGGCCGCCTCGGGTGCATGCTAGCTCGCTGGGCGTGCTGGCCGCCGCCTGGGCATGCCTGGCCATGTTCGCTGGACTTAAAATACAGTAAAAATTCGCAAAAATAGAGCAGTGGACATGGCTTCTGCCGGTGCGTCCAGGCCCTCTGCCGGCGCGTCCAAGCCTTCAGGTAGCGCGGCCAGGCCAGAGGCCGCAAGGGCTGCGGCTGCTTGGCCATCCATGTCGAGCGGGCGGCCATCCTCTTCATCGGGCGGCATTCCATCCATGGGCGTCGAGGTTGGGGTGGGAACGGCGGCGTCAGGGGTTAGGGTGTCGGGGGATAGAACAACGAAGGAGAGATGGAACGTTGGGTAGATGAAACGCTCGATCAACGATACGTAAGGCTAAAAGGGCAAAATGGTTAGATTAGGAGAGAAATACATGTATTAGGAATAAAAAAGGGATGAAATATATCTAATGTCATGAAAATCAAGAGTCCAACGTTTGAAGAGCTATTTTTACAAAGTCGATGTTTGGAGTCTTAAATCTGCGAAGCGCATTATTTGAAGTCCCAAACATGCAATTTTCTCCGTAATTGCAAGGGAGCAACAAGCAAAGGAGATTGTACCAGAGGCAACAACAAATATGAAGGGGGATACGATCTAGTAACCTGTTGACAGTGTCACGCTTTGCGGCACTAGTACAGGTCATGACGCCCTGGACATCTGATCCTCCCAAACAACCGTCAGTTGTCTTAAGAAAAATGAAGGAGTTCAGACTTCAGAGGATGCATTTTCCTTCAAGCTGGAGCACAATGCATCAGATATTTGTCCAGGTTCACTGAAGTCATGGCTCCCTTGCAGCAGCCATCTGCTTCTGTTCATCCTCGGCTATCCTCCAAGCAGCCTGGAAAATAGTAGAAACATTTTAAATTAGATATCAGCCTGCAAGCAGGATGTTTCTTTAACACATTTCATAGGATGTGCTTGGTTCAACAGAATTACCTTATCCCTCTCAATCTTTGATACATGGGGCTTCATCGAGTTCCCCAGACCCATTCCTCCCCGCGCATCCAGAAGCTCCTTCTGTCTTGCTCTTCTACGCTCTTCGACAGGGTTCAAGCCACTAGCTGGTTTTTCCTCGGCAGCAGAAGCCAGTTTCGCCTGCTCAAGCTTGGTTGGACGCTTGACAAAGATGTCAGCCAGGCTTCCTGCAGCTTCATTTGTACATTGTGTCTGACTCTTCTTTAGCAGGATCATACCACCGTCCTTTTCATGCTTTATCTTCTCCTTTTCAAGTCTGGAGACATGTTTCACTAAGATTTGATCTAAACTATCAGAGGCTGCAGCATTGCTACAGTGTATTTCCCTGTTATCCTGCACACTTGTTCCTCCTCCTAGTGCATTCCTCTTTTCATATTCCAACTTTTCCCTTTCCAGTCGACTTACATGCTTCACTAAGACTTGATCCAAACTATCAGATGATTTGCCATTGTTATCATTCGTCCGCTGATCATGTGGCACACTGGTCCATCCTTCTCCCAGTGCATTCCTCTTTTGGTAATCAATCTTTTCTCTTTCCAGCCTTGATACATGCTTCACTAAGATATCATCTAAGCCCTCTGTCACAGTTGTGCTTTGACCAAGCTTCTGGGGATGTTTCTGCACATTGGTCCATCCTTCTCCCAGTGCATCCTTCTTTTTTTGGTAGTCAATCTTTTCTCTTTCCAGCCTTGAGACATGCTTCACTAAGATGTCATCTAATCCCTCTGTCACTGTTGCACTTTGACCAAGCTTCTGGGGATGTTTCTGCACATTGATTTGTCCTTCGCGTGCTTCCCTCTTTTCCTTCTCCAATCTATGGATTGGCTTAATGAAGATCTTGTCCAGGCTAGCATCTAATGTGTTGCCATCTATAGTACAAAATGATTTAAGTGCTTCCAGCCTAGCAGCTTCAACTCGAGTTAACCTCTTGCCACCCTGTTTGCCCTTTGCACCAGAGGGTGGTAGCTGACGTGAATACCAATTTTTGTTCTCTTTGTCTTCTTGCACACAATCATAATTATCTTTTATGTGATTGCTGTCTTTACAGGATCCCTTGGATTCACAGCTTCCCTTTAAATCACAGTTATTTTCAGCTTCTGGTTGAATCTTGTTAAATTCCAATTGTTTGTCATTTGATTTGACATCCTCGCAACTTCCTTCCACCTGGTGAATTCTTTGGTTGATCTTCTTTGCTTCCAGGATCTCCTTCTCGAGCTTAGACACATGCTTCACCAGAATGCTGCTAAGGTCTGAAGTTGATTCTGGCGCCTTTGCATTGCTGCCTGTAAATTGGCTGTGGGCACCTTGTGTGACAGACTTTACTGAAGTGGATTTTCTGCTTGCTTCTCTTGCTTCCTGAACTTCTCTTTCAAGTTTTGAAAGATGCTTCACGAAGAACTTATCCAGACTTGGTAACTCAGAAGTGACTTCTTTCTTTGGTTGTTGGACACCAATAAAACTCGCTGCAGTAGAATACCTCCTTGCTTGTGATCTGAGTGACCCAGCACAAATGTTGTTCTCAGCACCTGTTTCATGATATTTGCTTCTTTCATTTTGAATTGTAGCATTAAGGCCAGATGTAGCTACAATGACTGCTAAGGAGGCAAGCTCTTCTTCATGAAGAGCTTTTAGCCTTTCAAGCATAATGTTAACAACATCTATGGATTCTTGAACTTTTGTAGTATTGAAATCAGAAGAAACATAGCTGCTGCTGATGTTTTATTTATTGACTTTCAACACACTTCTATCTTCATTGCTACAGTCAACCAGCTGCTGTTTATCTTCAGAATTCTCACCAGTCTCTGTCAAATCAGGATTTTGGCTGATTTTCCATAATAGCTCCTTAAACTCTCCTCTCTTTGCTGAATCTGGAAGAGTTTGCGAGTTGAACAAATGCCTTTTTGACTGCATCAGAAACCTCCATATCAACCTGAAAAGCTGTCTGAAATGATGCGGTAACTTTATGGGTTGATTGTGCTCCAGTATGCGACGATGATTCCACCTCATACTGCTGATGTGGACAGTCAGGTCTGTCATACATCATCACACCCATTGCTCGAGCTTCCTCAAATGCTTCAGCCGCATGTAGCATGGCCTTCTCCATAACTTCTTCAACATTTTTATTTTGGATCCTGTAGCAAAATAAAATAAAATAATGGATCAAGAATAATCAACATGATTAAAGAATGAATGCATCAAGGTCCAGCAAAGACACTAAAAGAGTGAGGCAGTAATCTCACCTGGCTGCTCGAAGAATTCTGCACCATGAAGCTTCAACCATAGCAGCTTTGCGAGCATCTGTTGCCTTTCTGGCTGCCTCTCTCGCTGCAATCTTCTCCCTTGCCATCCTAGTATAGTGAGGATTTGCATTTCCTAGAGTCTCATGGAGGGACGCAGTCATTCCATCAGCTTCCTATACATGACAGAAAGGCAGAGCTTTTATTTTTCATACTATTAAAAGTTTTTAAACTTTGGTTTTCCTGCTCCTTTTTCTTTTGCCTTATCTCTGGACAAAGAATATTTAAATAGCAAAATAATTTAAATTGCACTTTTTGTAATCTTGCAATGCAATAAAAGGCACTAGAAAAATATTGAAAATCCATACTCATGTACTTGACCAGTGAGAAGCATCACATAATTCATCAAGTACCTGAAGATGCTTGATCTTTCTCTTGATGTACGATTCAGTCTTCTTCCGAGGGGTCCAGTTGTTAGGGGAACCACTTCTGCGATTCCTAGATTTCTTGAAGTGCAATGTTGACTTATTCACAGATTTTAAAACTGAACCTCCTCCAAAATCTCTTGACCCTGGACTCTGCACGAACCAAATGCAGAAATATGAGTTACCTTTTAACAATCATAAGGTTACAATGGAAATATTTGAAATTAGAACAGAAGTTTTGTTCTACTGACTTTCTGTAGGCTATAAGTTGAATGAGTCATCGGTTAGAGGTGAGCAGACAGAATATTTAATCAGCTCACAATGTAATAATCATGAATTGTAGTATATGATGGTACATCTCAGTATCTCACACGAAACAAGGAAAAAATACACCTTCAAAGTTAGTAATAGTACTTTCTGGCAGCAAATGCTTACTCCAATAATAGGAACACTTTTTTTATGGTTGTTTTATCTATTATATTGGTTGACAACTACTTATTTTTTAAGAAAAAAAGGAACTAAAATAGCACACTGCCATTTCTGGAGATATATTGGTCTAACCTATATGAACCTCCATGTCCAAATGCTGTAAGCACGTTTGAGGCTAAGGAATTGGACAGTAACAAGGCAACCACCACGTAACTTTTGAGATGAGATGAGAAAAACATCAGTGGTTGCAACCACATAACTGATACAGACACATGGGCATATGGCTCACATAATCTTTTGTGCATGAACTTGAATTCAAGATTAAAAGAAGCGTGCATTCACACCGACCCGTATTTGATCCATCTCAAAATTAGTCTTGGTACAAAGTCCAAACCACATGACGATATCAGTTAACATGCCACAGGAAATCTTATCTTACGAAATTAAGGCCTAAAGGACTAAAAATGGTCTGTATAAATAGCACATCAAATCATTTGTAATCTAACTGATCCATCGGGTTGTAAGCTGGAGGCGTTCCTGCATAAATGGATACGAGATCACCGAGATCAACAAGGAAGACGGCTAGCAGAACAGAAATAGGGTTTTGACCAGACATTTGACTCTAGCGATCTCGAGCAACTAGGAACTGTACCGAGGAGAAATAATTGCGTAGAAACCGGACGGATTTGGACAAAACAAATCGGATGATTGCATCACTGCAATCCAGCGTCGCAGATCCAATTCCAGCAGCCGAAACCAGAGTCGCCACTCGCACGCCAAGACCAAGCAGCGACCCCGATTAATCCGACAATAATCGCGCGAAGCCCCGAGCCGAGACCCCGGCGATCCATACAGGACGTATTACTCCATTTGTCTAGCATATAACTGGGAGCAAGTTCAAGTGAAATTAACTCTTTTGGAGATGACGACCAAAGTCCAAAAAGGCCTAATGCAGTTTCCTAGCCGTAATTACTCCAATTGTCTAGCATATAACTGGGAGCAAGTTCAAGTGAAATTAACTCTTTTGGAGATGACGACCAAAGTCCAAAAAGGCCTAATGCAGTTTCCTAGCGGTTCAGAACTACTTTTCAGCCATGAAATAGTATTTTCCTCTCACAACATTTCAGCATAAACATCAACATAAGCCAAATTTTAGCATCAGCGAACAGGGTGACTGTTTTTTCTTTGTGAATACCCGGCGTAGATTCTGCGCACACATGCGACATTTCTGGTTCCTCTTGCATTTCGTCATGATGGATGAACAACGCGCAAAATGTCCAAATGAATATTTTCGCGTTGTCCATTTGGCCTCGGGGCAGCTTTGCCATGATAATAGTTTGCATACAACTTTGGTGCATTCTATTTCTCCTATAGCTTCTATGGAACTTTGAACTGCAGCTGTTACTTGTCCTTCAGTTGACATTTTCGCATGCATGCTCTGCTCTTTGCTTCTTCTGTGAAAGTTGGGTGAAAAGTTGGATCATCAGAAAGAGAAACAGGGGGTGGACCTAGCTAGTAGTAATGATACCTGGTGCCATGTCGCCCCGAGAGGTTACAGAGTAGTGGGGAGAATGTTTATTGAGAGAACTTTTACTGAATGAGTACAGTACTAACCTTAGATACCAGTACTATTGTCATAAGGAGCAGCTGTGAAATTAATCTGCTCATTTCGCAAGCTGCAGTGGGGTTATACAAAACCTGCTGTTACTTTTACTGAATTGTTAATTTGTTCTTTTTTTTAAGGGAACTGGAGGGTGAATTGTTAATTTGTTATGCGGTTACTTGCTGATGTTTTAAAGCGTCTTTTCTGCTACTGTCGCTTTGGCATGCGCTCACATGTAAATCATGAACTACATACATCAAATCAAGCGTGATCATCAACATTACTCAAAGTTAACAATGCAAGTAGTAGTCGTTAAATCAGCAATTTGTCAAGCAAGATGGTCGTCAAATTAAATCGGCAATTTGTCAAGGGAGAAGGCACCGGCTCCCTGACATGCATGCTTACAAAGCTACTCACTACCTGGCTACCTGCATCCTTTCTTACAACCAACAACGCAACCTTGGACTCCTACAACGCATTGACCATCTCACGCCATCTCGAGGCTGACGCACTGCACGAGCTATGGTGACCGCGGCGGCTGCTTCGCCACCGTCGTCGCTTCCTGGAGACGGAACGCTGGCGTTGCCCTTTGGTACGGCGGCGACCCACCCGTGTCCGTCGACGACGACGTCATCAGCAGGCTCCCACCGGAGATTTTTTTTTAGAACGCGACTTGTGTATTTCATTAAGAAGGGTAAACAAAACAAACAACAGCTATTCCGGCGAGCTGCCAGGATAGGAAAGTTCACAGTCTTACCGAAACGAGCAACCATACAGACACAAGCATAACGGATTACATCTCAAAAGCACAGTGCGACGAGCGACGAAAACACTAGACAATAGAAGAAACGACCCAGAACTCAGCGGTCGTCAGCAGGCTCCCACCAGAGATGTCCGACTCCGAGCCCAAGGGGGTAGCGGTGCCCGTGCCCTGTGTCTCATCGCGGTGCCTCCTCCGGCACCGGCCGCCACTACTGCCGATGGCCAGCGTCAGCTCCAGCCCGTCGTCTGCTGACGACGGTGGCGTGACGACGGCGCACTCGTCCGCGGGGGGGAGGCGCAGGTGCAGGTCCAGCGCGCGCCGCGGCTGCCTGCGCCGCCTGATTTGGCGCCGGCGGCTGAGCTGCGACGACGGCCTGGCCAGGCCGCCCATCAGCTGCTTCTGGACGCGGTACAGCCGGTGCAACTCGTGGACCTGCTGCCTGAAGGTCTCTTCGTGCCTGAGCATGGCCATCTTCACGAGCTCCATGTCGCGGTGACTCACAAGCTTATTCTCCATCTGCACCGTCCTCTGTCCTTGACTACCGGTCCTTGCTCTCAGAGTCTCAGTTGAGACCAGTAACCAGTTGGGCATCCGGCCTGCAGCCAGAATTGAAGGTGCAAGATGAAGAGATCAGTAATCAGTAAATGAAGCTTAGTTTCAGTTGCTGGAAAGAATCGAAGCTGTGTTTACAGGAACGATCCACGTATGGGTACGGCTGATTTAGCAATCAGCTCAAAATAAACAACAAGCAAATCATGAGATGCCAACAAGATAACAAGGACATCAATATGCGCCCTACTCTAATCATACAAGTAATGAAGAAGCTAATGCTACCTCACTCATAAATCATAGCGATGCGTGATTACATTACATAGCACTGAAACTATAGCCTCTGGTCTGGATCACACACATACAGAGGCAACTGACTGACCTGATCCTGGTATATATCCACAAGGAAGGTCAAAAGATGCTGGTTGTCCTCTACCTTGCTCTCTCCTTTGTCTCCTTCTTCAGTGTAGTGGTAGATTAGATTCTTCTCCAGTCAGTGATCATTGATGGTGCTCGAATCCAGCACGCATGCAGCATGAGACAGAGCAAGAGAGCAAGCAAAGGTGATCGTTTCAGATGCTGCAGCCAGTCCACCACTGGGGAGTGAGTGAGTGTGTGTGTGTGTGAAACTTGGCCACCATCTCAAATTCACAATTCTCAGCTGCAGAAAATGCAATGATGCTTGGAGAGAATATTTGGGCTGGCCCTGGCCCTTTAATCTCGGTTCGGCATGCCGAACAAGAGCAGTGGCATGATCCTTCGCAATGCATGAGCTGCCCCTCCCGGAGCAGACAGCATTGGCACGAGCCTAGTTTAGCCGCTGGTTGGGCCCCCACGCTATGTGGGCCCCACTTGACCAGAGCCCAGAGGCAGCCCGGGCCAGTACCGGCGCCGTACACTGTTTCCCTGTGCGGCCATGCAACGGCAACGCAGTGCATCCACTGACAGTGCTTGTGTCCATACATGTGGACCCCCATCCGGATCCAACCTCCGATGGTGATCGCTATTTGCTCCTCCGGCTCTCATCGAGGAGAGCTGCTAATTATTGGATTTCTGTTAGGGCTCCTTTGCATGCTAAGGAGATAAATGTACGTGGGTTTGAATCCCCAGGGGGTTTCTCCCCTGTACATGCCACCCTCTCCCCCGCCGGGAGGAAATCCCCGACGACCGTTTGGGAGCCATGGGGATTAAAATCCCATCCAACTAAAAAAATTCTAAGAACTCAGAAAAAACAAAGAATTCAAAAATGCAGCTCTAATCCTCAAAATCACTACCACGGATATACTCTCTAGTATACATTTATGTGTCATATCATATAAAAAAGGTCACTTGCATATTCAGGGCTCCTTTGGGACATAAGATATAGGAAAAGGATAGGAATAGGAAAAATGTAGAATTTGAGACGGCAAGTTCTCAAATCCTATCTTTTCCTTTCGAATCCTGAGCCAAGCTCGGGCACCTCATTGGGCCACATCGCTCATTTTTCCTCCTCCATCCGATGTTGATCGAACGTTGAGCATGTGAGCACAGCAGATTGCGTCCCCTCCGCCGCCGTCGACTTCTCCAGCTCGACCGCCCCCGGCGTGGGCTCCCTCTGCCCCTCCGCCTACACCCCACTGCCCGCGCCTCGACGACGGCGTCCTATAGGAGCTGTAGAACCAGGGCTCCTGTGCCTTCTATATTCAAAGAACAGCGTCAACAAATCCAATAATTTCTGGACAGTGAATGGAAATGTCACGAACTGAATTTTCTGCAATGGACAGTTAAGATTCAGTAACAATACAAGATGGATCAGCGTAAACAAATCCAATAATTTTTATATTCAAAGAAAATACTGAAATCCCGAGACAAGAGTAAATTAAATAGAGCCTGAAATTGCGCTTTAGATTAGTCTGACCAAACAAAGTATACTTTTTTTCTTAAACATATGTCAGCACACTACCCACATGACCAAAATGAGAACCCTAAAATCCATGAAGAGTGAACTATAATTCAGCAACTATATATTAAAACTACATAAAGTCTCTGAAAATCTCAGCTACAGCACATAGTAGGCAAGTTACAGTTCCATTGTCATCTGACTTGCAGCAACAAGCTTACTAATCCCTCACAACCTACAGAACAGGGACATGAGTGAGCATATGAGCAATGGTATATACTACAGTATTAAAGCTTGTGTGTTTACTCTCGGATAGCAACTCGACTGAATACTAATTTCAGCAGTACTAATTTCTTGATCTCAGGTAGCAGTACCAAATCAGAAACTATTTCTTGTGAGGCAGAAAACGTGATTACCATTAGCAGAACAGTATTAATGAAGTACTGATCCAAATTAATTTCTTGTGAAGCCTGCTCGAGAAAAAAAATAATTTCCTGTGATCTCTGCCACACGAGATCACAGGTAGAGGTATTAATTTCAAGCGATCACAGCTAGCAGTATGAATTTCTCTACCTGGAAAATAAGTACGTGATTAGTACTTTATATTTTTCTCTCTGAACCGAAAACTAAAACTAGATCATAGGTACCAGCATTAATTTCTTAGCAGCCATGCCCAAGAACAACGACCCAATTCATCCATTCGATTTGATTCTAAGAAGTGAAGACTAAAGACGAGCAGATCTAAGAAGAAACACACAAAGATAATCAAGATGAGGTGCCCAACCTGCGCCTAGGAGACCACGCATGACACGGTTGGTCGGGGGCGTAGCAGGTGCAGACAGAGATGGCGGCGACGACGGCGCGACGAGACCAGAAACGATCCAGGAAGTGCGCCCGGATCAAAGTCGGAGCAGGATCCGCCCGGATCAAAGTCGGAGCAGGATCCAGAGTTGCGGCGGCGGCGACAGGACGAGGGCATGGGGCGACGACGGCTGGCTCAAGGGATGGAGATGGCGGCGCTCAAACCCTAGCCGCCATGCTTTCCTGGGCGACGCGACATGGGACGGGAGTAGTGAGCGAGGAGGGAGCGACGACCGACCGGGAAGAAACAACACGACCTCGGAGGCGTTTATTCTGAGCCGCGAGGATTGACGGGGTTGTGGTGGAAAAGGCACGAGCTTATTTTGACCCATGAGGTTTCCAAATGGTGCCGTGGATCACGACGGGGAGCAGCGACACGGGCCTCTCGCCACCCGCGGATGAGTCCGGGATCCCCGCGGGGATGTCCCTATCCAAAGGAGCCCTAATTGGTCAAGATAAGTGACGACCAAATCTACAACTAAACGATGTTTTATGGGGAAGCAATCTAGTGCTGACACGCAAATTAACGTTTGCCTATGCAATAATTCTAGAGAGAGAGAGATAACGGTCAAGGGAGCACTTTGGGTCCATGGCTCCATGCGAATCAAAGTAAATCATCATACACCATGTCCACTTATGCTGAAATTTAGGACTGATTTTTATGCTAAAATATTATGAGAGAAAAACATAGTTCCATGACTGAAAAAATAATCGCTGAATAAGGTCAAACGAACAAGGCGATAGTTTCGATCATGAGAATGAGACATGACGACAGGAGCACTAGGCCACACACACACACACATATATATATATATATATATATATATATATATAAGCATCTTTGTTAGCAAAGTATGTTTGGGTGAGGTGGTTGAAGGATGAAACTCAAATTAAAATAAGTGACCGTTGAGAATTGCCTTGCCTCGCGAAGCAACTCGCCAGCAATAATTCATTTGGCCGCAGCAGAGCAGCGTTGAATACGGTGGTAGCATATTTATTATTAGCATATATAGCCATAATAAGGGATCTGCAGCTCTATCAGATTACTGTCCTCGCTCCTTTTTATCCTAGCTACAGAGAACTGACAACATTAACAATGACCACATGCCTTGACTGCCTTTTTGAATCATGCATGCATGTATGGCGGCGAAGGCGATGGCATTGGCATGTGTCTGCTTTTCATCGTTGGACCATAGCCTGCGCAGGCCAGGCCCCTACCACTAGTCCACTACCTGTACCAATAGTGTCTCTGCATCCGCTGACCAAAAAACATTGTCAGATACGTACTCCTACTTGGCTACATACTCGTAATATAAAGTACTCTACCACACCACACCACACGCTATCGAGTGAGTTATAGATTTTATTTAGGTTTATGCTGGTTAAATATAAATAAATCTATAACTAAACTATATATAATTTAATAAGTATGAAATTTTTACTATAGTTCAATTGTATAATAATGGGACAATTGTTTAGCGGACATCAAAGTGATGGTTGTTTGCTGGCGGACGTCCTGTTTTGAGCAGTTTGCCACAAGACACTCTGGTTTGACGAAATTAGGCCACAAGACACCGCAGACTAGTTGCAGCCGGCCGAGGAGAGAGAAAATTTTGTTTTGACATCCGGTGCCCCCGAGCGCGGCGAGCAGTGAGCGCTAGTGGACGGCGGCGACCTGAGGGGGCAAGCACGAGCAGCAGACGGGCGGACGCAAGGACAGCGAGCGGGCTAGCGGACGTGGGCACGAGCAACGGCTCGGCAGAGCGGATACGAGCGAGCTCGAGTGGGCTAGCCGACGCGGGCACGAGCGGCGCGCAGCGTCCAACGGCCACCGCAGCGACGCGGGCGAGCAGCCGCGGCAGCCGGTGAGTAGTCGAGTGCACGCGAGGGCACGCGACGTGGACGAGCAGAGTGCATGCGAGCGCGGCGGCCACGAGGGAGCTGGAGGAGGTCCGTTGTTCGTGCAAGAGTAGCAGCTCCGGCTCCTGGATGTCGTCGTCGCCGTCGAGATCCCCACACAAGGCGCCAACATGGGAGGCACGACCGCACAGGTGGTCAGAGCCGCGCAGCGTCGTGGCCGGCCCTGACATCAACGGAGGCGTGCTCGTTGTGGATGCGTGCTCGCGCTCATCGTGGAGTTCGGCCTCATAGATGCGGCTACTCCGTGGATCGCGTTTCGCGTGCATGTGGAGCTCGGCCTCGATCGGAGAGCGGCGTGCATCATCGGGCGGCAGCGCCGTCGCAGCGATGACGAGCGGCACGAGCATGACGACGGCGGCGGCGGCGAGCGGACGAGTGGAGCGGTCGAGCGGACGCAGGCATGACGGCTCGGTGGCGCGTAGCGGAGCAGACACGCACGAGCTCCGAGCGAACACACTCTAAGCAGACGCACGCGAGCTCCGAGCTCCAAGCGGCGGAGCGAACGCATGAGGTTAGCAGCAGCGGGGCTTCGACCGCAACCGCCGCCGCACCCGCAACCGCTGCCTGCCTTATCTTCGCCTCCGGAGCAAGCCGCTAGAGGCGTGGCCCACCAAAGGCGCGAGGCTGGGGCGCGGCACCAAAGCGGGCCGCTGGATGCGCGGGCGTCGAAGGCATAGCCGCCCGCGACGGCATGATGCGCGACGGTGGGTGCGGGAGGCGGAGAGGGTGGCGGGGATAGGAAACAGAAAAAAGAGAGAGAGAGAGAAGAAGATGAAAGCGGTAGGGGCAAGAATGTTATTTCACCGCTGTTCTCTCTCTTCAACTGGCTGCAACCGGCAAGAATGTCATTTCATCACTGTGACCTAATTTCACCAAACCAAAGTGTCTTATGGTAAAATGCTATAAAGTGGGGTGTCCGCTAGCAAAGAACCATCACTTTGAATATCAAACAGACAATTATCCCTATAATAATTAGCCCACCATAAAAATTTCATCACAATTGGACCATAGAAACTGCAGCTATGAATTATTTCAATTAATTATAGAAAAGCATAGATCTAAAGCCACAGCAAAAACTTTATACTAAAGCATATCATATTATATGTTCACTATGTAGATCTACTCATGTGGAGTCCAACAAAATTGGATTTTCTATTTTATGATTTTTCTGTGTTCTATTATGATTTTTCAAAGATTTAACCGAAATAAATAAAAAAGAAAAATACAAAACCGCCTTCAAAACTGCTTATAACTGGGCCAGGGAGGTAAAATGAACAGGTTTTAAAAGTTGAGGGAGGTGTTTTGTCCGGTTTTCTAGTTTAGGGAGAAAAAGCGAACTTTCACGAAGTTGAGGAAGATAATGTAGACTTTTTCCCCTGAAAATGCCCATCCCATGATAAACACATTGGGTGCTCGGTGGGCTAGGATGCAAATTTTCAACCCGTAACAAAACTTGAGTTAGACTAAGGCCTGAATTTCAGCCCGCGGGATGATAGCCTGACGGCCCGACTGTACATAAATCTCAGCCTGACTAATCCTCTCTCACATCCGATCGGCCACCGGGACTTGGAGCCATGTCACACAAAAATATTATTTAAATGAAAGAAGTAGATTTTATTGGGGCTACATCTTTCATATAGAAAGTATATTTATTTAACATTATACAGAAAGATATTTTTTTCTAAAAAGATAAGCTTTGCTATGTAATTAATATGCTCCTTGAATTTTATATTTTTTTCTTAAGCATGTTCACGATCTCAATGAAAAACTTCAAAACTAAAACTTGTAGGTCTCATCGTGTTGGGTAAAGAAATCACCTAAACATCAAAGTTTAAACATAAGACAAAGTTGTATTCATTTCATGATCATACTGTACATGTCAGAAGGGGTATTTATAGAGCCCCATTCTTCGTGCTTTACATAAAATGACCATTTTACCCTAACTTAAATAGTTACAACCCTTTTTAACTATAAGGGTGAAGTGGTCTTTTTCTCCTCTTGAGCCTTCATTCTTCAACCTTGGTCATCAATCTTCTTGATGTCTTCGTCTTTTTGGACTTAGTCGATTTCGCTTTGACTTCTTCCTTCAAAATATGAGGCAAAAGTCAAATCCTTGTCTTCGCCTAGTCTTGCTTTCTTCTTTTCCTCAGCGAAGACGAAATCTTTTCAGCAAAGACGAAATCTTTCTAGCAATGCCAAATTTCTATCTTTGCTTCGTTTCTTTCTCCTACAAGTAAACTTTGTTATAGAAATCACAATTTCAACTCTGAAGCTTGAAGGGCTGAGTTTTCTTAGCGAAGTTAAATCCCCAACAAAACCCCCTCGCGGGCGAAGGCCTACTCCAAAGGTCCGAATCCCGTGAAGTTTGGATTTAAAACGAAGACAAAAACGCTGTCCTAAACTTTGGAGTTGGCCGTTTATAGTCGTTAGACCGAGAACAATTGCTTTTTGAAATGCAACGATCGAATTTGACTGACAGAAGTTGAATCGTCAGGTTTGACCCAAAGTTGCCTATATATACTGTGCCCTCCCCTCCTGTTTTTGCATCTTTATCGAAGATGGGGATGTGCTACTGAAATTTTCTTTGAAGCGAAGCCAAGTTTTTTGCGAAGATTTGTTTTTCCTAAAAGTAAAAGTTTGGTTGACTTAAGGTTAGTTTTTTTACTTTGTTTATTTTGTTTTTCTTCTTTGCATTTTTGGTCTTTTGAGATGTCTCTTGTTTTCTAGATGTCTGATCAAGAAAAGATTGCTTCTGAGAACTCTCTAGTTGAATCCAATCATTCTGGATCTGAGGAAGATTTGTCGGATGTCTCTACATCTGAATCAAAATTAGTTGGAGATGATACGAAGTCTTTAAATTTTGGAAAGACTTTGATGTATGATAAAAATTGGATTGGATGGTAGTTAATAGAATGGTGGAGAGGGCTTCTGTTTGTTTGCCCAAAGGTGAAACAATTCGAAGCCGAAGCCTCATGAATGTGTTATTTTTCGTGATCAGTTTGCTGCTAGACTTCATATGCCTTGTTAGGATTTTGTTGAAGAAATTTTGAAGACATATAATATTGAGATGCAACATTTGACTCCAAATGGGATAGCAAAGATTGATGTTTTTATATGGGCCGTGAAATCTCAAGATGTAAATTTGGTTATCAGAGCTTTTTTTTCTCTCCATGAGATGCATACTCAGTTTAGAAACAAAATGGTGGAGGGAAAGAATGTTATTAAGTATTTTGGCTGCTGTAGCTTTAAGCCTGCTTGTGGTGCGAAGCAAATTGCACTAGCTTCTAAGAACAAGTGGGTTGAAAATTGGTATCGGTTTGGTTTTATCATTCTGTCCCATTAGTTGAAGAAAGGGATGATTCGAAGAATATGGTGAAGCGATACCCTTTGGCCGCGAAGATGGGAAAAAATATTTTTGATTGTAAGCCTAATTTCGCTGGTACAAAGAATTCTAGGACTTGTGAAAAGGCTTATAAGTTGGCTGCTAATTTGCAAAGTGCTCATGATCTTTGTGAGGAATATATTGTAGCTCGTGTTTGGCCTCTCAGAAAACGTTGGAGTTTTGTTCATTTTCACAAGAAAGTTATGAGGGGGAAAGATTATTTGTATCCTGACAAAGAAGCTTTTTGTCTGAAGATGTATTCAAGAGATGAAGATTTTGTCTCTGCTGTTGAATTGAAGGCAGTTGAAATTCTTGGCAAGTTTTTGAAGAAGGAGAAAGATCTGTTGGACAAGATTTTGGGGAAAGATTACAAGCATCTGAATAGGGTTTTTGAAATTGCACAGATCAAATATGGTGAGAGATCTCCACCGGCGTATGCTCGTGCAGCGAAGCCGAGCATAGAAAATGTCATGAAGAAAAGGGCTGGAGGTCAACTTACTAAAAAGGCTAGCAAGAAAAAGAAGGTTTCTGCTTTGTTTGATTCAGAAAGAATTGGAGAGGATGAAGTGGACTTGGGTCTCGATGTTGATAGGCAGGAAGTTCTTAGTCAGCAAGCTCATGATGATGAGGTGAGAATGATTAGTTTAGTTTTTAATTTAGTGGTTTGACCCTTCTAATGTTGACTCCGCTTGGTGACTATTTCTAGAATTTGGGGGCCACTTTGCATTCTAGTGAAAATGTTGGTGAAGCTAGCTTAGTTTCGCCTCGAAGAAATATTGGTGAAGACACTTTGCCTTCTCCCCTAGTTATTCCAGCTTCGTCTCTTGCTCTTGATGCTGGCGCTGCTGCTGATGTCACTGCTTCTGTTGATGTGCAAATGGAAGAAGGTGAGATTGTAACTATGACTTCGCAGGAGACTGCAGGGCCATCTTCTCAAAGATTTGTTGCTGAAACTCCGTGAGAAACTGCAGGAGATGTTGGCGCTAATGTTCATGTTTATAGCACCCTGTTTTAAGAACAAAACTAGATACACACCATATATGAGCCCCAAAAGTCAAATCTCACATATAGCTATAAATAAGGGTAATATCAAAAGACAATGCTCAATATATAACGTACTTAGTATAAAGGATATAACCTTAGACAACAAACAACAGAAAGACAACTCTGATCTTCGGGTGAAGACTCCAATCCACAAGGATAACTGACTGGTTGATCATAAGCCTAACTCTTCCGGACTAGCAATCTGGTACCCATCTGGGATTTTTCCAAAGATTTAAAAAGTAAAGCAAGCGTAAGTACATGTGGTACTCAACAAATATAACATGGGGTTCATGAGGCTCAAAAGGCTAACACTGGTTAACTGCGATTAGCTTTTAATGAGTCATGATTTTAGCAATAGGGTGGCCACAAGTTTATCCACAAGCCCACATAAACACATGACCAGGTAAACATGAATAATGAATAGCATAAACAGTAATCATTAGTGAGCATCTTCATCATCAGTATCATTAGTGTTCATCATCTATTCTGTAAGGGTTCTAAGGTCGCTCGTGACCGTGAGCATGACTGTTATAACAGTTTTACACTCTGCAAAGGTTGTACACTTTCACCATGAGTCGTGATTTACCCTTTTGCCCTGAGGTGATCAGCCTCTTGACCCACAACCTAGGAAGGTTGGCAGGGTTCACTATGAAGCCTTTCAAAGGTTCGTCTAACAAGTTTGGGCCGCTAGGTTTCCCCATCAATAAGCATGAACTCCCCTCCAAGGAGTGACTAATAAAAGATTAAGAAACCAAAATGCACTCAACCTGGCAGGCAAAGGTCATACCTGTAGGAGTCTCTCTTGCGCCATAAAGGTAACCACTAACAAGCTAGAAAATGTCATCATACTAAGCTAAAGCTAGACCTATGTAGCCCTCACAGTTGTACTGTAAGTCCCGGATGATCACTTATAGATAGTCCTTAGGGAGAGGAATCTAGAGCACCATAAAAACAACCCAATGCTCTAGCCCCCTTGTTCCATGTTGCTAAAAAGCATATTTTAATGTTTATTGCATATACCATTAGTCAAGTTATAAGATCATGGCTTTAGTTTGAGCACTAGCATCATACTACCCAATGCAATACCCCATAGGTAACAAGGATTCCAAGATATCAAATAGCTAGGAAAATTACTACGGTTGTCAAGGTAGACACATGCATATGATTAAAATGATATTAAGGTGAATAGGACAATAAGAAAGATCCTATGCTATACTTGCCTTAAACTCTGATCCTTCTTCAAGTCCAAAACTTCAAAGAAACTCCTTCTTGATCAACACGTAAAGCTCACCAACTGGACAAGATCATAAAGCACCACACAAGCATCCATACAATCATACACAAAGTAAACAATAGAACTAAATTAGAATAGTACACCAAACATATGAAACAACAAGTAAAAAGGTTTTAAAGATGTTCTACACGTTACTACGAACACACAAACGCTAAAAAGCACGCTAATCGGAGCTATAACCGAAAAGTTATGAACAAAACAAGATTTCCTTTAATAAAATAATAGATTAAATTTTAACCTCGAATTTTAAAAGTTGAAAATATATTTAATAGTAGTATAAATATGTAGATTACATAATTACGAATCTAACGCAACTTGAACGGGTCAAATCGGAGTTAAAAAGAAGAAACTACACATAAAATAAGATCAATGGCAATTCTATAAATATTTTGAAATCAATTTCATATTAAAAATAATTAAAAACTGAATTAAAACAGTCCTGTGGACCGGGGCTCATTTTTGGAAAACTATAGGGGTCAAAACATAAGATCCAGGGGCTTGGATTGAATTATTTTTGAAAGGCAGTGGACTGTGGGTTGATTTTGGAGAAACTGGGGGCCTCTTTTGTCAAATGGCCGAAGCTGGCAGGGTTAACCCGGTCGTTGTCCATGTGGGCGACACATGGCAGAAAGGGGACTAGGGCACGTTGGTAAGCTAGCGGTGGACCGACTGAGGTGGAACCTTGGGCAGGGTTCATGGGTCTATGGTGCACAGATTATGAAGCGAAGGGGTATGCTCTAATTGAGATCGTTCGATCGAGATCAGACGGATGGGGCGGCTTGGGGATGAATTCGGCGCCTGAATAGGGAGCGCGCGGTGGCTGCCATTGCTGGCATCAAGAATCTCGTCGGTGTTCACGGATCTACTAGTTCAAAGCATCTCGCGCAATTCCAAGATCACAGGGAGATAGAGCGGGCAACGGGGAGCATACTCAGGGGGTCAGTGAGGGCGGCTAACGTGCAGAGGTGGTCCAATGCTCAAGATGGTAGCTCAAGCGACCGACGGTGCTCGGTGAGCTCTAAAACGAGCAAGAAAGAGAGAGAGAGAGGATACGGATTGCATGGAAACACTTCTTACCACCACGGAAAACACCACGTAAAACTTTGGAAAAATTCAGCGGTGTGTTAACTTTTCGGGTCCTCCATGCCAAGCGATTCACGAGGAATCAAATCAAATGGCGAAAAATTAAATGAAAATGGCTTAAGTTCAAATAATTTATTAATTTTTTTGAGCATCTTACGACTTCAAATGAGCTCTTGTAGAAGTCGTCGAGATCTATAATTAGGGTTGGGTAGGGATTTAATTCCATAAAAAAAAATATGATGATTTTTGGTATATTTATGAGGGGTCAGAGGCGTGGCGCGCACACCAATTAAAGCGAGGAAAAAGTTGGAGTAGTGGCAAAGACGAAATTTTTCCACCACGGATTTGAGTCCGATGGCACAGGCTGAGAAACGATTGGTGTGTTAATTTCGATGGCGAAGCGATGTCACGAGGAATCATGCGCATGGGACGGTGGCTAGGGTTGGTGCTTGGAGCTTTAGTGAGTGCACGCTAGGGTTGGGTAGGGGGGGGGGGCGGCTTAGGGCGGTATTTATGAGGGTTGGGCGTGGCGCGCGCTAAGGCGAGAAGCAGGCGAAGAGCGGATTCCGGCGGCGTCGTGAGTCGGCGTGATGATGACTTCGGTAGGACGACACTAGCTGGCTCATCGGTGGGTGGGGAAGTGGGATGGAGCCAAGGCATTGGCCGGTGAGTCGGAGAAGCATCGACTAGGCTGTGGGTGGGAGTGGGCCTCACGGAGAGAAGGGCCCCCTGGGAGAGGATGGCTGAGGGGAGGATGGCTAGGCTAGCTATAGGGAAAGAAAAGACCGGGCTGAGAGAGAGAGGAAAAGCGATGGGCCTGGCCGACTGGCTGGGGATTGGGCCAGCGGTAGCTGGCCAGACTAGAGAGAGGAGCCCGCATGGGCCAGAAGAGAAGCGTGAGGATTTTTTCCATTTTCCTTTTCTATTTTCTTTTCCTATTTCAAAACCACATTCAAATATGAACCAAATCAAGTTTGAATAGGGTTTCAAATACACTTTTCAATTCAAATAAAAATGAGCAATTTTGGTAGGCTTTCAAAAATAAATTTTACAACTTTTTTAAACTCTTTTATTTTCCAATTCTCTTTTCTTTTCAATACATTTCAAAGTCATTTTCAAATTCTTTTCAAAATACAATTTAAACCATTTTGAGATTTATTCTAAACCTCTCAACCAATTAAATCAAATGCACCGGCATGTATGCACATCCATGTTGCTACTCCTATGGTAAATTTTAATTTAATGAAAAAATTTATCTCCTACATTTTCATGAGCACATAAAATACCAAAATGAATCATTTAAACCTATTTTCAAAAGTACAAATTTTAGGATGTTACAATGTTGCCTCGTCCTCCCAAGTTGAATGCAAGATAGTGATTTGGGAGGTGATCCTATGGAAATGATGTTGATAAAGCTAGGGCTCGCAAGGGTAAGGGTACCACTACTCTTACCCTTGATTTTAATGAGTCTGATGATGATGTTTTTGATGAAGAAGCTAGGGATGATCGTGCTTCTTGTCTTACTGAATCTACCATTAATGTCAATATTGGTGAAAAAGTTTCATGTCAACTTGAGAAGGTTGTTTCCACAGGTAAGTTTTTTGTTTTTTCGTTTTGTATATTCTTATTCTTCTTTTTATTTTTGAATTTGCTTCATAATATATATATATATATATATATTAATTTTTAAAACTTCGCTTTTGTTTTTTGTTTTTGTTTTTTGTTTAGAAGATTTTTTTCGTGATCCTTCGTCTAAAAAAAGAGACACTGTGGATATTGGAAGGATAAAGGATGTGGCTCAGGAACCTGTTACTCCTGCCGAGGCCTTGGAAACAAAATCCTGATGGGGTTGATCCTGAGGCGTATAAGCGTTGTCTGGAGTACTGCCAAGCTCAAGGTGTGAATTTAGGCACTTTTAAATTTGTTGGGATTAGCTTGGACAGACTTCGCATTATGCCAAAGAAATCAGAGCTAAAATTGTCAAAGTGCATTGATGATGCCTTCGTCGTTCTAGATGCAGAAGCTAAACTTGCTGGGAAATCTTCCCTTGAGTTGGCAGATGCTAGTGTTACCATGATTTATAAGGTACATGAGTTTCTTTGTTGTCTTCGTATATTGATTTAGTTTCGTAACTTGATATTTTTTGTCGTGTTATATTTTTCATAGAGTGCTATTTTGCAATGGAGTTTGCGTAAATCTCTTGAAGAAGAAGTTAAGAATGCAGCCCTTCGTGAAAAGGCTTGCTTGAGGATATTAAATCTTTGAAATCTCAACTTGCTGCTAAAGAAAAAGAAAGAGTTGAAACTGTTGATACTCTTCATGTTATGGAGACAATGTGCATTTCAATGGAAGCGAAGCTTGAAGGAAAGACTGAAGATTTTGAAAATTTGAAGAAAGATTATGAGAAGATTGAACAAGAGAAGAAGTATCTTGAGAAAAAGGCAGTTGAGAAGGATAAAAGTTTTCATGAAAAATGCAATCGCTTATGGGAGCTTTGTAGAAATTGTTATGACAAGTTTGGGCGAAGCCTGAAGATGCTTGTTGGGAGCTTGGGAGCTAGAGGATCCGTTCTTTGGTTGGCTCTATCGTCAATATGAAGACTTGTCTACTGTTCTACAGACGACTGCATATTTGAGTTGTATGTATACAACAAGGGCTCTTTTTCATTTGATGAAAGAGGCCAATGATCCATTGTACGAGCAGCTGCTTGACAAGAACTACAAGTTTCCTTCAGTGGATTCACCTAACCAAGTTTCTTCAAGGACTCAAATTCTTTACAAAAAGTATTTTTATGAGTATTGGAATCAAGGCGGCCGTGAGGACAATTTTATGAAGGCGAAGAAGAAGATGAAAAGTTAGTTTAGGAAAATTTTGCTTTTTTGTTTTATTTCTCTCTTTTTTCCTAATATTTTGTTTTCTTTTTGCAGCAACTCGAGAAAGAGATTGTTGCTGATGAAAAGTTGCAGAGGGAGCAGGATAAGAGAGATGCGGAGAATGCTAGAGATGATGATGTTGGTGATCATCTAGTTTAGTTGTCTTTGTAGTTTAGGTTTTAGATTTTAAGTTGAGGGGTGAATTTTGAAGGATGTTTGACGTTTTGTAAATATTGAATGGGTAGGATGGAGTTAATGTTATGACGTTGTTAATGTGTAAGGACAACTTTGTTGTTGGATCTTTGCTGTGGTTGGAATATGAAACCAATGAGGTGAATCCTACATTGGATAGATTTGTTGAACGTAAGCTAACGTAAGCGTTATGTTATGAAGTTTTAAGTTTTATTGATGTGATTCTTTTGCTGATGGTGTATGTTGTTTTTAGATTTTGAGTCTAACAATCTTATTGCTGAAAACAAAAGACCTTGTTTACCACGGATTATTGACTTCAGCAAATTCTCTTAGGTAGTTGCTGGTTCTCTTTTTTTCTCATAAGATTTGTATTGAGTAAGGAATATTTTGATATTTTTATTTTTCCCAGTCATCATGTTCAAGCACTTCGCCAAGTTTTGTTTCTGAAGATTTTCTATGCTCAAAAGTTGATGGAGTGCTGAACAAAGTTGTTGAAGACTTAATTAGTGAAGCTGTGTGATTGACTATGACTTTCGATGTACAATTTGCTTCCTTGTGTTGTAATTTATAATAAATGATTCTATTTTGTAATAAATTTGAAGTTTGTAAATTTTCTTTTATATTGATGTGTAAAGTTTGGCGAAGGTAATGCATAGACTTCGCTTAAAAGTTATGACTCATCATGGTGAATTTTGAAAAACACTGTCCCCTCAATTTTTTGCGAAAGCAACACATAGACTTCGCTTAGAAGTCATAATTCACCTTAGTGAATTTGAAAAACGTTGTCCCCTCACTTTTTGTGAAGGTGACACGTAGACTTCTCTTAGAAGTCATAATTCACCTTTGAATTTTGAACAACGCCGTCCCCTCACTTTTTTTGCGAAGGCGACGCATAGACTTCACTTAGAAGTCATAATAAACCTTAGTGAATTTTGAAAAATGCCGTCCCTTCACTTTTTTGCGAAGGAGACACGTAGACTTCGCTTAGAAGTCATAATTCACCTTAGTGAATTTGAAAAATGCCGTCCCTAACTTTGCTTAGAAGTCATAATTTGCCTGAGTGAATTTGAAAGAACTGAAAATAAACTGAAACATTTATTTAGATATGTTAGCATTTTTTTGCTTGATCAAAAAATAATGCTACATATTTTTAGCTTGTTTTAGCCGATATCTGAGTATATTTTAAGTATACTCTTTGGCTTATTAGTTTTGTTGTACTCAAGGTTTAGGGGAATAGTTTCTCATTTATATTTGATGGAATTTACAATAGAGACTGCGTTAAAAAACCACTCACCCTGTGAAGGGCTTCCCCTGAGTGGAAAAAGAGTGCAGCTCGTTTACATTTGATTTGAAGCTTTGGAATGTAAAAAGAGCTAATCTACCTGTAAGGTAGAATTTATAAGGCTAATAAATGAAAGTCTAAGTGTAGTATCTTCGCAGAGCTTCAATGTTACAGGTGTGGTCAATCTCTTTCCCATTCATATCTACCAAGTGGAATGATCTCAATTTATTTGTCCTTATGATGAGATAGGGGCCTTCCCATTTTTGCTGAAACTTTCCAACTGAATCTTTATTTGTTTTTCTTTTGAGAACAAAGTCTCCTAGAGATAGTTGTCTTGACTTGACTTTCTTGTTATATCAATTATTTGTTTCTTTTTAGTATTTCTTGAGATTTTGGATTGCTTTCATCCTTTCTTCTTCGAGCAAGTCTTTGCTTATTATCTGCTCTTCTTATTCAATGATTTGCATATTGGTTCTTGGACCTTCAAATTTTATTTCTTCAGGATGTCATTGCTTCTTCTCCATATAGCAGCTTGAATGGTGTGAAGTTTGTTGATCTTGAAATAGTTGTATTGTGTACCTAAACAACTTTTGGTAATTCATCGACCCATTTTCCTTTAGGAAGCCCTACTAGGCATTTTGAAATTCCAGTGCATATGATTCCATTTGCTCTTTTGACTGCACCATTTGATTGTGGGTGTCTAATGAAGCAAAACATAGTTGGATTCCCATATTCTGACAATAATTTCTAAAATCTTGACTATCAAATTGAGTCCCATTATCTACTGTAATGTGTCTTGGGACCCCAAATCGGCATATGATGTTCTGCCATAGGAATTTGTTCATTGTGAAAGATGACATGTTTGTTATTGGCTTTGCTTCAATCCACTTTGTGAAATATTCTACAGCCACAACTGCATATTGATAATTTCCTTGGGCTGGAGACAATTTGCCTATTATGTCAGTTCCCCATCTTGCGAGTGGCCAAATTGGTTCTATTGTTTGTAAGTTTGTTGCTGGAGCTTTTATCTTGCTTGCTAAAATTTGACAATTGTGACAAGACTTGACTATTTCTTTGCTGTCACTTTTGGCTGAAGGCCAATAAAATCCTTGTCGAAATGCTTTTCCTACCATGGTTCTTGCACCTGGATGTGTACCACAAATTCCTTCATGTATTTCTGATAGCAGTTCTCTTTCTTCTTTTGCTGATATGCATTTGAGGAGTGGCTCACAAATTCCTTGTTTGTACAACTAATTGTTGATGATTTTGTAATTCCTTGTTCTGTGTTTCATTCTAATTTCATTGACTTCGTCTTCTGGTTCATAATGTCCGCGAAGATATGCCATGATTGGAGCTCTCCAATCTTCGCTTTGTATTACATGAACTTCTCTCGAAATTTCTTATTTTGTTTTGATGGTGGCTTGAGTTAGGACTTGAAATAAAACATCTTGAGGCAAACTTGTATTTTGTGCTGCAGCTTTTGCTATTTCGTTAGAATCTGAGTTATCTGTTCTTGAGATATTTTTTATTGTGAAGCCTTCAAAATATTTCTCTTATTCTCTCAGAAATTGCAAGTATTTTGCCAGCTCAGGATCTCTTGTCTTGTAATCTTTTTCGATGTGTCCAGCCATGCCATGACTTGTGAATCTATTTTGATTATTAGCCTTTGGATCCCCATTGCTCTTGCTTTTTGGAGTCCGATCAAAATGGCTTCATATTCTGCAATATTGTTTGTGCATTAGAATTCGAGTCTTGCAGCGTATTTCATTTTTACTCCTGAAGGTGATGTGATTATTGTTGTTGTGGCAGCCCCTGCAAAGCCCCATGCTCTATCACAATATATGATCCAGTCTGGTTGCCTCTTTTCTTTGCTTGGACTTTGTGATGGAGTCCAATCTACTACGAAGTCTGCTAAGACTTGAGATTTTATTGATGTTCTTTTTTCAAATTTGATGTACTACTGGGATAGCTCTGCTACCCATTTTCTCAATCTTCCATATGATCTGCAACTTTATAGAACTTCTTTCAGAGGATGATTTGTTGGTACTTTGATTTTGTGAGCTTAAAAATAGTGCTTCAACTTTCTTGTTGTTGTTAAGACTGCATAAGCTATTTTTTCAATTTCTAAGTAGTAGATTTTTTAGCCATATAAAGCTTCTAAAACAAAGTAAACTAGGACTTGTTTCTTTGAGTGCTCATTTTCTTGCTCTTGAACTAAGAATGTGCTTACTACACTTTCTATTGCTGAGACATATTGGAGCAATTCATCCCCTAGAGTAGGTGTAGCTAGGGTATTTGGCTTTGATAAGTACTTTTTTATTTCTTCAAATGCATGTTGCTACGGAGGTCCCCATGTGAAGTTTCTTTTTGTTCCCTTCAGGGCTTGGAATATCGGTAGGCTTCATTTTGCTGATTTTGAGATCAATCTGTTTAAGACAGCAAGTCTTCCTGTCAACTTTTGGACATCCTTTATATTTTTAGGAAGTTTCATGTTCAGGATTGCTTGAACTTTGTCTGGATTTGGATCAATCCAAACTCTTAGCATATATGGAGAGGGAGCTAATGCTACCAATAGAGGTTCATGAAACTTGTCCAAAATCCTTTACATATGGTAAAAATGCTTGGGCAAGCAACATGGATTCAAATTTGAATTTATTTCATATCTTTGTGAAGGTTGTCATCAATTACCAAAAACGGAGAGATTGAAAGCCCTAGTTTGGTTTTGGCTAATTGATGAAACCTATTTGGACTAATCCTAGCATCTAAGTGTGTGACTAGATAGGATGGTCCAATCCAAGTGGTGGAGCAAGATGAAGTCCATGGTGTTGTTGGTGGACATGTGATGAAGGTGATCAAGCTCCAGACCTGGAAAAGAAGAAAGAGAAAAACAACATGGGATCAAGGCAAAGGTGATATCCATAGGGCCATTTTGTTTTCGGTGATCGAGATACTATAGAGAGTGTGATCACATTTAGGATAGATGGTCGTACTATTAAGAGAGGAGCTCTTATCGAACAACTCGGTCATCTAGTGTCACTAGGTGTTGAAATACTTTCATTGCATTTTAGGCCTAGTGCACAATCGGTGAGAAGTGAATGACCTTTAAAAAATGTTTGTGAAAATGCTAACACACTTACACGTGATGGTGAAACACTTGGAGTGTTAGTACATTTGCAACGGTGGTGAAAAAAGGTGAAGAAAAGGAGGCGTAGCCGGGCTTGTGTTGCTGCCCCGAGGGCACCGCCACCCATGTGATGGTGCACCACCACCCATGTGATGGTGCACCGCCACCCCTATGACGGTGGCCGGTAGAGGAGGCCGAGAGAGAGGTGCTCTGGGGGGCACAACCAACCCTTGTCCGGTGGCACCGCCCTAAGGGTGGCGGTGCCCACCTAGACTCGGCCGAGAGCAAGGTTGTGGAGGCTAGCACCACACGTGGTGGTGTACACTGCCTCTGGTGTGATGGTGCACCGCCACCTTGTCCGGTGGCACCGCCCCTTTTCAATAGAGAGCAGGGAAAACCATGATGGGATGGGCATCGCCACCCCTAGGGTGATGCACCGCCATTTTTATCTAGAGAAGGGGGTTTCTTGGGCAGTGGCTGGGTGGTCACCGCCACCCTAGGGGTGGTGCCACCACCGCCTGTCTAGTGCCCCAATGGCTAGTGGATGATCGTTGGAGGGGC